AATATCGCTGTTAACTAACTAATTAAACTGGTTAAATATTCAATGAGCAATAAAAACAAAACAAAAAATTTTATTTTTAAATTTTATAAATTCTAATTCTTTTTTATGAGATTTTGATGCCTAAAACTTTCTTACTCAAGTATTATATAAGTTTTAATTTTTAAATATAATTTGCCAATGTTTAAATAAAATTTAAAATATTTTTAATAATTTTCTGGAATTATATTTGAATTGAACTTATTAAAGGTAAAAAAAAATGTTTAAATTTTGAATATAAGTACCCAGAACATGTTCAACACGTATGTAAATATTGAACCGGATCTTCAACTGTTAAGTATTGGATCGGATATATAACTTATCTGCAAAGTCAATTTTTTAATAAGATATGCACTTCATTTAGAAAATGACCTAATATAACCGACTGCAAAGTATATTTTCCGATTTGGCAAAAGTGTTGCACAAGATTATAAAAATATCCATTAAATAAATCTTTGAAATATGGAAATTTTTATAACTGTAGTAAGTTTTTAGTTAAGAAAATGAAAATTTAAAAAAAAATTTAAATTCAGCTTTTAAAACAAATTCATTTTATGCAACTCGAAAAATTTCAATTGAAATCAAAATACCCAGAGACACAGATCAATTTTTTGCTACAAACATTATGTATTTACACAAAACCTTACCGCGAACATGTACATTTCCGCCGAAAAGTTGTAACGTGAAATTTTGTGCAATCACATAACCTCTGTATGAAATGCGATCAATATTTAAAAAATGTTGGAATGCAATTTAAATATTATATTATAAATAATTATTTTCATACACACTTAACTGATATTACAACTTTAAAAACAAAGAATTATATATGTATAAGCGTATATATATATGTACATTATGCCTTTTTATAATATTTGCTTTACAATTCACTCACATAAAAATTCATTCTGTGAACCCACAAATGAAATAATTTGAAATACTTGAAAATAATCGCTTTACAAATAAAACACATTTAAAGTACCTCAAGTATTCTCACGAATGAAAATCCATAATATTATATACATACTCGTATATAGACATTTTATTTTTTATGTTCAATATACTATAGAATAAATATATCATCATATAAGAGATTAATTTTTAGAAAACATATGTAAGCACCTTTATGCTTTTAAATTAGATATATGATTTAAAATTCTCTTTGAGACACGCTAATCCAATGAAAAAATTTTCACTTCCATATCAATTATTATTATGATATAGAAAATTAAAGGTTATAAATTTTATTACCGCAACAGTAGAATCATAAAGGTAAGAATTTTCTTTATAAAACTAAAATCCCATGAAATTTTCTTTATATTTAAACATTATTATAACACCTTAATCTGGCATTTATATATATATATATAACTATGTACACGTATGTATACGTGATGCTTTTATAATTCGGTACTTAAATTTTGAAGGTATAAAGATTTTTTCTTTTGTTTTATATTCATATAAAGATTAACACAAGATGTGGAAAGTTTACTGACGGTGTAAAATAATTTTTTTCTTTTTTTGTTAATTTGAGAATGAAAGCAATAATTTCATTGATATAGTTATGCAATAATATTATTTAATTTTGGATTTCAATAAACAGGGAATTGCATTTACAAAAAAAAAATTTTTTTTGTGAAATTTAATAGTGAAAAATCAATACTTAAAGTTTTTTAGTAAATTCTCTTCACTAAATTATTTAAGCACGCATTTATACAAATTTATGTACAGAGTGTTTCAAATTATGGATATAATTTCAGTGATAAATAATTGTTCAAACTATATACTTATGTACTGTTAATGGTATGGTAAAACTATGATAGAAAGAGGAAAATGTTGGTATTTAGACGGCTTTTCCTCTCTTTGGAGCCAATTCACCAAATTCAAAATTTTATATTTAGCTTAGGTTTTTAATAATAAACAAAAGTTTTAGCAAAATTTTAAGTTAAAAAAGCGAAACTTGAATCTTAATAATTTTAAAATGCAAAACATTAAGTACCTGTCAGACAGGCACTTTATGAGAAAAAGTGGAAACTCATATTGCTTATATGTTATAGATTATAGAAGAAAGATATAGAAGAAGGAAACAAATGTTTACTCTTAGTTTAACTATTCCGAAAATCTTAGTTTATAATTTGAAGGCAAAATCTCTGATTTTTTAAAACAGTACCCTCAATTATTATTTTTTGCTGCAAATCAATAAAAAAGTATAAATTCACCATATATTTGTAACCACATGCAAAACACCCTATATGTTACAGTAAATAAGGTGTTTAATAAGAACTTTTTAAATATTTATTCAGGTATTGATCCGAGACCCGATCCCCTTTTGCTTTAATTTAAAAACTGGTAGAATAAGCGTTAGTATAAACTATATGAAAACAAAAGCAATATAAACTATTTTAAATTTTTATTGAAAAAAAAATGATTATCTCTAGTTTTTCAATAAAAAAGAAAAAAAATTAAAATTATTTCATTTTTACTGATTAATTGCAATGATTTTTCCCTGGAGGTGACTTATTTATCATTTTATTTAAACATTTTGATATTTACATTAAACTTATTTACATATATATGTACATATATATATGTACATATTTTATAGTCACACATATCCATCATTAGATTAATTTTTGTGATATTTAACTATAATATGAAATGTGTTTCTCTAATTTTCCAAACTCAATTGATTTAACAACACTTGAGGGTTTTGAATCAAAAGTTTTGATAAAAATTTATAAAAAATAGGAAAAACTTCTGAATTATTCGTTTACACACAGGAAATCTATTTGAAATAAAAATATACACATTGTTATTAAATAAACATTCAAGTGCACACAAATTTTTAGCTAGAATGCTATATTACTCGTAAATGTAAAAAAAAAAATTTGATGTGATAATACAATGTGTATTGTATTATAGAAAATTATGAGAATGTCTTTTAAAAGTTAGTTAAAAAGTAGGCTTTTAGTGAACATAAGCAGAGAAATGAAAGTTTCGCTTTGTGCCATCCGAATTCTTTGAAAGTTTCGCTTTGTGCCATACGAATTCTTTGAAAATTTTGTTTGTGCCATCCGAATTCTTTGAAAAACTTCGCTTGTTAGTTTTGGTAATAACCGAAAAATATTAAATAAAAACTCAATATTAAATTAATTAACAGCTCAAATATTGTCCATCATCAATATATTCCATCAATTAGTTACGTGGGTATGGTAACAAATGTAAAATCAGTCCCTAATTCGGTTTCCGAGGCCTGATCTTTTCAAAAAATTTATAAATTCATTGTTTTAACACCGAAATTTTAAATATTAAATTTCCAGTTCCTGAGGCCTAATATATTCCAAAAGTTGATCAACTCGTAACATAAGCATAAAATTTTAATTAAGATCGGATAAGCCAAATTTGAGATAAACGCTCACATACACAGCTCGATAAACCGACAGACCGATATCTCTCCAAAAATAGTTTATTTCTACTTTATGAAGAAGTCAGTTTCCAGCGAAAATTCGGTATGAAAAAATCACAATTTTATGCCATCACATCATCTCCTTTATTGTAAACAATGCGGTCGGTAAAAATCAATATTTTTTGCATAAATGTACATACTTATACCTGTACATCTATAAAAATATTTACTTTGATATTAATCATATCATATTATATTATTTATCAATAAAGCTAATTAATTTAATTGAAATTAATTTGCATTAATTTACTTATACTTTTAATTACCATTTATGTACATATGTATTATATACATAAATCCACATATATATATATGGAATTGTTTCCACAACAAATACAAAACAGTATAAGTAATTGGTAGTAAAGTAAAAATAATAAAAATAGAACTCAATTGAACTCTGACTGACAATATATAAATATCATGAGATTTTAATATAGGCGTATACGTTTTGTATCCTTAAGTTTTAAGTATGTATAAATAATCTGATGCTCGTTAGTATAGAAACATACACATATTATATATTAATACTTTCTTTTAACCATTTGATTGTTAATTTTCAAATACATATATACTTTTAAGTACATACATAGGTAAATTGAGTATGTTTTATGAGAAAAGATTTCAATTCATACTAAAAAAAAGTTTAAACGGATTTAAAGTATTAAAGAGCTAAAATTAATTTGAACTTCTGAAAGCTGTGGGCTAGAGAGAATTCTATTTTAGAATCTGAGGAAATTTAGAATTATAATTGCTTAGAATTGATGGAAAGGCTTTCAAAATTCTTAAGGTAACGAAATAATTACCTTCTCAAAGTGCAATATTGTTAGTAAATCAAGACCAATCATTTGACATATAAACAATGTAATTTATATGTTATAATTTGACATTTAAACAATGTAACTTGTATGTTCTTTTTACGATTTTCCTCTCAAATTTCTAATTGAATAAAAAATTTAATAAATTTGTGAATTGTAAGAATGATTTTAACACAAATCATCGTTTTTCTGGTATTTATAGCTGTATTTCAAGCTCTATTCTTAAAGCATGATAGAACTACAGCTCCGTTCATAACGTCAAGAAACAGAAGTTTAATATGTATGAGTAAAGCATACATATATTAAATATTTTTGCTCCATCTGTCAAAGGTATAATTTAAAAGGACATTGTCCAGCAAAGCTATTATAGAAGTTATCGAATTTTTAATTCAATTTGAAATATTCAAATTTTATTAACACGATTTTTTAAGCAACGGAACAATCATTTTAAGTAAATTTAACAATTGAAATTATAAATACATCTCACACCAATACTGGCACAAATATCACGAAGTTCTACATATTATGGATCAGTGTATTTTTTCATTTTTAAGAATATGTAAGTTATAATTCTGCATACGACGGTATATAGTTATATTTTGAAAATAATACGTATGTCTGTAAATATAACGTGACTGATATGACAATGATTTCTTTTTAAATATAAAAAACATTAAACTTACCAAATACCACATTGCTGGCCATTTTATATCATTTAAATGAACTGAATCCACTAATGAAAATATTTTAGGTTCTCTCATTTTCATATAATCTCGTTTTTTACGTGATAAAATTTTTTGTTGTTCCGCCCATATAACACGATGATCTTCATCAAGACGATTTTGATGAAAATCTGAGGGTGATATTGATCTCTTTGATATTCGATTATGTTGAAAATGATAATAATCACCAAATATCTGAAATGGAAAATAAAAGAGAAATTATTGCTATTCTAGTTTTGTTTTTCATAAAAGACAAAATAAAAAAAATTAAAAAAATTTTCTATTATAAAATTTCTATATATGTGTGTATGTATGTATATGTGAATTTGTTTATTGATTTGTAAAATTTTAAAATTTTTTTGTTGATATTTTAAAAATTCATATTAACTTCCGATCATAAAATTTTCGGCTGGCCTAACCCAAAATCTATTCATAACATCTCTATTTTCATTCTTGTACGTATGTTCGTATACAAAATTAACCTTAAAATTTTAAATGAAAACTGATTATCTTAATAGGAAGATTATTTTAAATTAAAATACTAAATGTATAAAAACAAATGGAATTGAAGGTTAATCATATATAAGTTCTACAAATAATGAAACTATGAATTTTAATATTTTCTTGTTAAAAAATGCTTTTGAAATCAAATCAACAATAAGTGACGAATTATTTTAAAGAAATTAAAATATTTCATACATTTTAATTAAATAAATGAAATATATGTATATAGTGCCGCTTATACTGTAAGAAATATAATACATGGTGTGTTACTTATACTTTGATATTTTACAAAAAAAATTTTCTCAATAAATCAATTAATTCGATCAATTGTTTTGAAAACCAATATCTTCAACCAATCAATTCTTAAATGAAGATCACATGTAATAAATAAAAGTTTTTTTAATTATCCATAAAAAACTAATACATACACGTACATACAGATGTACATATATAAATTTATTTATAGGCATTTAATAAATTAATTAATAAAACTACATAAGTAAATTAAATTCAGAACAAGCCATCAGTGGCTTGTAAAGTACGACATTTCTCTCTTTTAATAGAGAAATCGCATTTATAAATCAAATTATATAATACAATAAATAATTGGATAAAAATGAAAATTAAAAGAAACATTATATCATGTTACATAAGTGAATTCTGGAAAGTGAATTCTGGAAGGTTAAAATCTAATTGAATTTTTACAATTCCCTTTCCAAGAAAAAAACTGTTAGTATAATGTTTGCCGGTCCTGATTCTCGGCAGAAGAATCTACGTGCTATTTTTGTACATTACCAGAATTTAAATATTTTATGGTTTTGTAGAGTGTTTCTGTGGAGTTCTGTAGGGATGTACAATATTATGGACTGTTTTATTTGAGAGAAATGCATAAGCGAACAGAATGAAACTAATAAGCACATATTTTTTTCTAATTTTGTCGAAAATTTGCTAGAAAGCTGTTACTAAACCTTTAATAAATTGGTGTTTATCTTTGAAATTGACATAAAGTTTAAGGCTAAGTAAATAATTTAATTTAAGGAAAATAGAATTGAATTCAATGATTGTTTACAAAAACTTAAAAATTCAAAGTTTTATTTTATTTCTTAATTTTTCAATGAAAAATTGTAATTTTTTACAATACTTATAAATAAGTACTCTTTAAAATAACTCAAGAGCTATAATATTTAAAATAATTGATCATTTTTTTGCCTCTATTCAATTCAAAGCAGTTATAGTAGGTTCTTTATAAGAATAAAGTTTCAAAATTGTCTTTAAATAGGTAATAAAAAGTAAATATTAACCCATTCCGAACCAAAATTTTTATTGGTATGACGATAATAGGATAGGTCCTAATTCAAGAACTGCATATTGATTCATTTGAAACAAATTGTAAGAGCATATAGGAAATTTCCATTTGAATAGAAACTAAATATTTACGCAAATAAACAAACCATACAGTTCAAAACATATGAAAGAAAACAATCTTATAAATTTTCAATTGTGTAGGCAAAATAGTAGCGGGCAAAAGCTTTTTTTCTAAATGTAAGAAGCAAAAAAAAATTAAAGCTTTTAAATCTAATTGTTCTCATAACAAATTTGCTTGGTGTATCTTGCATATGTTGTATAATCTGCAATTTTCCTTTACGAGAAAATACCAACTTTTCTATATTTTTCGCGTTATACGTTCTATTTATTTTCATATTTAGTTTATTTTTAAATGAATTTCTTATATACCGGATAGTAGCCGAATACCGGATAATCAAAAAGGTCTAGTCTTAACTGGCATTTACATAAGATCGATAGGTTTATTTATCATTTAATAATAATCATCATCATAAATAAAGTATAACTTACAGTTAAATTTGTAATTTTTCCTTTAATTGCTTTTAAGGCACTTACAAAGTCACTAATTTATAGGGTTAAAATTTCTTGAAAAACAGTGAAAACCTCGAAAAATTTTCAATTAAAACGTAAATTAATAGATTTAAAATTTTGTTTTTCCTCTTCTATACGGCATAGAATTGAAAATGTTGTTAAATAATAAAATATTTTTTCAATAAGAAAACAAAAATAACTTTTGCTTTAGATAATGGGTTTGTTATAGACAAAATTGATTTATATATGAAAAATATTTTTCAAATAAAATTGAAAAACAAAAAAAAAAAAAAGTTAATTAAATTGAGTGGTAAAATATGAAAGGAATAAGCACATTTTTCAATATTTTTCAATATTTTTCTTTTTTAGATTTTTATAAATTAACGAAAAATGGCATTTTTAGATGAAAACTTGGATGCTTTCAACCATCATTGGATCTACTCTTGTATAAAAACGAAACAAAACAAAAAAGGAATAACACTTTTATATTAGAAATAATAAAAATAAAAAAATTTCTCTATATTCAGGTGTAAAAATGAAAAAAATGTAAAAAAACCTTATTTACCTCCCGTACATACTCGTATATCGACAAAATCTATAAGAACATAAAAATATAAAACAAAGTAGTACTTGCCCTAGATATGAGTTATTCTCTAAATAAATTTAACCTTAACGAATAATTTTTTTTTCTTTTTATGTTTCTTTTAGGTTTTTTTTTTCTTTTTGAAAAAAAAACTTAGCTAAAATAAAGTGATGTCGATGTGATGCAAAAAATTTTATGCTAAAATGGAATTTATATACTTAATTTTTATTTTTTTTTTTTTTTTGAAATAGAGTCCTTGAGTACATTATATACGATCTTGACATTTCTGACACAAAATTTTTATTATTTGAAATATTTACATATATTTTTTATATATACGAAAAATAAGTAAAATAAAATAAATAATATGCATGTACTTTAGATAAATATAAATAAGTAAGTAGTAATATAAATACATAATACATATTTTATTTATGTATGTGCATACATTTATGTGTAAATTCAAAAAAAAAAATTTAAATTGTAATTCACGGCAACACACACGTATGTTTTATTAAAAGGGAAAACTAATAATATGATAATGCATATGTTTACATTACGTATAATATTTGTATTTACTCCCCCGTATAGTATTTTTTTTAATGCTGCAAACTTTATTAGCTATATATACTTAAAATTCTAAAAAATATTCTTAATTTATATGTTCATAAAAAGAGTAAAATTAGAATATTAATTTAGTTTCTTCACTGAATTTACATAAATTACTGTAGTATATATATGTATATACTTACATAAGTTTTTTAAAAATTTTCCCTCAGTTGTAATAACGAAAAGTTATTGAGGGAAATTAATGCAATTTGAAATTAACAGAAATTTTGAAAAATATTTTAAAAGCCTAAATACTCGTATGTTCTTAAAAAATTTTAAGAACATATAGAATAAAAATATTAATAAATTAATTGTTCAAATTGAAATTATAAAAATTATAAAATTATTAATATTTATTTATAATTTTAATTACTCAGACATATTTAGTTTTCACTTAATATAGGAAGTACTGAATACTTATTAGGAAATTGGCTTGAAACGGAATATATTCGTTCTTCGGTGTAACTTTCATAACACATGATCAGCATACATATAAAAGATCTTCAGAAAAAAAAAAATCGGCAATTTATTTTATTGTTATAATTTAAAAATATTTTAAAGAAAATATTTTAATCAAAAAATGTAATAATGTGTTACTCAAATAATTTCAAAAATCATAAAATTTTTGTTACAAATCCTGGTAGCAAAGACAGAACAGCGTAATAACAATTTATCGGTGATTACTAATTAAGTGATTACATTGGAAAAAGTCAATATTTTTATATAGAACATGTGGGAGAAAATAATATTTATTGCATCAGAAGCTGTTTTAAAAAAAAATAAAGTTGAATTGAAAATCAATGGTTTGTATTATGGAACTTTTCGCTTGAACAAATGAAAGTACTGCTTTTAATCACAATCTACTATATTATTTAAACTAAAATTATTCATGTAAGTATCAAAATATATTGCATACATTTAGAATAATCACAAGAAAAAAAAAATAATGAAAGAAGCATTAGCATATAATAGTTGGAATACAATGGTGAAGTAAGTGATTTAAAATAAGCAATTATAATTTTTGATGGCATTGCATTTATCGCTAATTTTTTGCTTTTATGGGAATTTGAAAAAGCTTGCAGTTTCGAAAGTATAAGATGCCGAAAACTCAAATCTTACAAATTTCGAAAAGCGATCAATTATTTATTACCACCTAAAAGCTCATAAAATTTCGCTTTCAGACTGGGAGAAAAATTATAGCAAAAATTTTAAACAAAAATTAACGGTTGAAGAAGCCGCAGTCAATACTTTTCTGAAATTAAAGGTCTATAATTTTTAGAGGAGGGAAGATGACGAAAATTTTTTTCTGCAGAAATAAGTTTCAGGTTGCTATAATAAAGGGCGTTGAAATTTTATTAACAGAAACAATGGCAGAGAAACTAATAAACACTTTTTTTGCAGTTTTTTTTTTGGAAAAGTGCTAAAAATTTTATGTTTCCAGAAATTGAAAAAATGTGAAATCGACGTTAAAACAAAATAAGTTTCTGTCCACTAAGTATATTGAATTAAAAAAAAAGTTTTTTTTTGTTTTGTTATAATTTTTTAAATTTTTAAGCCCATAAACTAGTTAAAATCTAATCACTTACTTTATCATTTTGTGTATTTATGTATGTATATATGTATGTGTTTTAAAATTAACGGTCTTCAATAAAAATCACCTAGAAATTTTTTATTTCTCATGACCTTCGATCTTGACAAACTATAGATCTTAATTGAATTTTATTTGTTTATCGTTATAAAACTAAATTTATTTATACTTTTTCAAATATACAAATTTCAATTCCGGTTTATTTTAGCATTACAACTGAATACACAGAATAATATATGTATTTACCTAATTAATTATACCATCCAAATACATACACATATATACTCATACATTACAAATATAAAAAATAAAACTATTCTAAAAATAAAAAAAAACTGAATATTTATTTCAGAAAAATAAATTTAAATAAGTGATTAAATTTAATATTTAATATTGCGACATAATTTAAAATTTTATTTAAAATATGTATGTGTACATAAGTAGTTTTAGAAAACTAAATAATGTAGATGTTCACTATACAATTAACACAAGAATTTCATTGTGTCGCATGCAATTCAGAAGAAAAACTAAATTAAGAAGAAAAACGGTTTACAAAGTCTTACTGTAATTAGTGATTTTTTGGTGCAAAAATGTTGTTACTATTCCATAGATTCCCTTCAATCACAGAATTTTGCGCGGCGTTATTAAATTACTTCTATATTTAAGAATAACTTATAAGAAAATTAAGTGTTTTTACATGTTAAATGTTAATACCTGCCTAATAAAATATTTATAAAATAATCAAGGATGAAAAGCCAGAGTTATAAAATTATCAAATTAAAAAAAACTGGATGTTAAATTTTTAGAATAAAAAAAAATTATGATTTATATTTGAATTTAATGTTTAAGTCTGATTTGACTCAACAATAAATAACCGACAACTTTCTTACTTTAACAATGAATAAAGAAAATAACAATTAACAATAATACTCTTAAAATTTTTCTCTCTAACTTGGAATTCTTCTCTTTAACATGAAATCGCAGTCAACGGATGTCGTCATCACTCGTCACAATTCACAAACAAAAAAAAAAAAAAATTTATCAATGACTAATTTTTAACTTTCTCTTATTTTTATTCATTAGAAAAACTTAAAAATTACTCTACTATAAAATTATGTAAGTATGTATATTTAATTTAAAAAACATTTGACTATGTTTGAGCATCTTACAAATTTTGTACAACTTTAAATTTACGAGGGAGCGGGGTGTGAATTTTCATATTGAAAGCTTTTTGCGTTTTTACACAATATTATCATTGTGTATATAGTTTATAGTGACACACAGAAGAAAATTTTTATAATTATAGAACTAATTTTTTTTTAGTAGCGTTGTTTTCAATTAAAAAACTTATTACTCAATAGCGCCCCTCAAATAAGTGGCCTGTTGTATAATTACAAAAATTAAATTCTGTATAGCACTATAAATGATATGCACAATGATAATATCAAAAATCGCGTGAACAAGCTTTATAAACTAAATCCGATCAAAACAACGATTAGTGTAGCAAAGCATTTCTCTTAACCAAGTGAAATATTCTCTTAATTCCGTAAAATGTCGTCTTAAAATATACATATTTTAGAATGGAAAAGAAAAATAAGAATACTGTTAATATAATAATGGAATTACACTTAGATCAATTAAAATAATAATATTTCTTTGGGTATTAAAGTGTTGATAATTTTGCGAGTTGCCAGAAATCAACAAAGAAAGGATTAAAATTGCTTTTAGGCTTCTATAGAGGTAAATTTCTCTCAAAGATATAAATAGCAAAATTTAACAATCAATAAGCAGAAAATATCAAGTTTTATTACTAAAACTTATTAATGGAAATTAATACGATAGTAAATATTTTTTAAAATATCAGAATATATTTATGAAACAAAAAAAAAAAACATAAAATTTACATACCTTTCCTAAATTTTTGAATCCATGTTCATTTGCAATTATATCAGCTAAATTATTATTATCTCCATTAGGGATCCGGACGGCCCATGTATGCGAATATTTTGTTGTACGAGGTGATATTTGGTTAATGTTATTATTTAAATTACTAACATTAAAATTATTTATATTATTAAAATTTTCATATTGTACTACGGCTAAGGTTGGCGCCAATAAATTACTTAAAATTAACATCACGATTGATATAAGAAATGCACATTTTTTAATTCTATATTTTAATGTTGACGATGATAATATATAAAAAAATGTTGATTTCTTGTAATTTATTATTGCACTTTTATTATTTTTAATATCGTCATTTTTATATAATATTATTGAATGTAAATTTTTTATCTTTTGATCACATTTATCCGTTGATTTTATTTGTTTCATCTTATTTTTATATCTGTCATAGTTTAAATCCCTATTTTAGGATTTACTCGAAACCTTTTTTCTCTCTTCTTATTATTTTTGTGATTTTTCTTCTTATATAATATATACAATGTATTCCTTTATTTTATAAACTATATTGAAATTATTTATTATTATATTTGTAGCTAGTTATACATATATATATATATGTGTGTGTAGGTGAAATTCTTATATTGATGAATGATAATGAAAAATTTCTTTTTTTCTATATAAAAAATTTATAATATAAAATTTTTATATTTTCATATATGTAGATAGTGTGTTGTAGTCTTAACTATGAGTAAAAATTTTGAATAGAAGAAAATAATTGTTGATTGGAAAACGTATGAAATTTTTCAAAAAAAATTTCCTTTTTAAATAAATAATGTACTAAATTTTTATAATATATAATTGTAGTCCTAAATTCCATACGTAAATATTCTGAAAATATAAAAGAAAAGAAATATATTATATTAAAAAAATTATTGAAAATTATTTAACAAAAAAAATTTAATTCATATAAGTACTAAAAATACGTTTTATATTCAAAATTCCCAATATTGCAATTATTTATTTTTAAAGTGTGTATTTTACGGATCCAAAATATTTCTAGTTTTTTAAGGACTTGAAATGGTTTTGTTCTGTAAATGCAATAATTTTGTTTTTAAACTTAACTCATATAAGGATTACAATTTATAGAATCCATGTTGAAATAAAAAAGAAAACAAATAAACTTTTTAAACCTAGAGTTATGAATAACAAATTTTGTTCCTATATAAGAACGTATGAATTTATTGAAAAAATTCTCTTATCTGTCAGTTTCTTTTCTTTTTTTTTGTTTTAAATGATTGTAAATTTTCTTGAATATTGTTTATTCGACATTTTTTGCAAAAAAACATACATACCGTAATATAATACCATAATATTATTTACATATAACGATAGGACGATATCAAATGTATAGGTAGGACGATATCAAATGAATTTTAAATTAACATTTTTTTAAGAATACAATTTTCTTTTAAATATCTTAGAACGCTACAAGGTGTTTAAGACATTCAAAATTTAATGCAGTCTGTTATATATACATATGTATATGTTTATACTACAATTGTAATAAATGTAAATAAATTTCTATATAAGCCTACACGATTAGTATGTGAACATTTTGAATGATATCAAAAAAATTATAACTAAAAAAAAATTATAACGAAAGTTCTTAACAACAAAAAATTTCATTTTAAAAGAAGAGTAGCCAAAAAGAATGAGCTTTGAGGATAACATAATTTTTTTAAATAATGCTCTTATAGTTGTTTATAATGTCTTATATACAGTGGCAAATAAAGCACTCTGCCTTCATATTGTATTCGGCAACTAAACTTGTTTTTAATTGCATTTACGCACCATTATTGTTCCCAAAAAGCAACTGTAATGGATAACTCTTGCTTGTACTACAGAAAGAAGAATAAAGGTATTAGTGCTACAAAACTAAGGTAAATCTTAGAAAAAAAATTGCTAAAAGTTCAAGGAGGATGATTAAAACATAAATTAACTGCATATGAGTGAGAATCAGAAGGAATAACAAACTTGTTAAATGATCCCTCCATAAAAGTAACGCTTTAAAACTGAATTAAACTTGATGTACTATATGCCTGAATTTATGAGTACTATTGCCTGAAATATTGCTTGAAAGAAATTTGAATTGACATAGGAGATAAATATTGAGTTCGCGAACAATTAAAAGCACCGTCAAGAATTCGACAAGAATGAAACGAAAAAATTACGGCATAAGTATGTATATTAAATTTATAAATTTTAATATTGAAAATTATTTAATTGCTGCAGAGTATTCAAAATTAATAAAAAAAAAAATTTACCATTTTCTATGGTAGCATTTTTTGAAATTTACTTAATGGCAACCCTAGCTTGATGTCCTGATAAATATATATGGCATTAGTTTTTCATTGGTTTTGTTATTTTATATTTAACAATAAACGATGATAATTTAAAAATTTCTGTAAGTCTCACAAGCAAAAATTTTATCTGTGGGATTTTGATTTGTTTCGCGAAATTCAATCGTAGTACCTAATTTTTCTAGTAAATAATTGTCATAACAATCGTAGTACCAAACAAATTTTATTTACATTCTAATTAAGCTATTAAATATAATAAAAGTGTTGTCTTCAAACTGTACCGTAATATCATCTTAGCACAATATAAATTACTTGAAAATTAATTTATGCATGGAAAAAAAATACAAATTAGTGAACTTAATTACTATTATTTGTTTAAATACTAACAATAAAAAAAATAATAGTTTTCTTTTAAAAAATAAGATAATTTGGCAATTGAGCATATGAATTTAGTGTAGTTTTGATTTCTTATTTCAAAAATACATATTTGTAATTATTTTTTTTTGCCGCACAAAGAACCAAACCTCCAATGATTTTCTCCAATCATCATCTCCAATGATTTTCTTTGTGAATTATTAAACTGAAACTCGAAAATATTTTTAAAAGCTAGAACTGAATCCATATTTTTAATATTGATTTTAACTTTTATAATTTAAGAAAACCAATATATTATCATATATCAGGTTAAACCCATTAGAAATCTAATCATAGTTTAAATCATGAACAACACGTTAACCTCTTCCCCTCACCTATACCCTCACCTATACAGAATTATGAATATCAGAGAGAGAAGAAATCCACATCAGAGTTAAGAAAATATGTTATTATGCAATCATTTCCCGCTCTATTCTAATTTTTACTTATGATCATATAAAATTCTTTGAATACATAAGTTTTTGAAGTATTTTTTGTTTTTCCATATAGTAAAAAATAATAATGAATCTCAATTTAAATACAGTCTGTACAGGTGAATGCTTTTTCTTTATATATTTTTTATAAAAATGCAAATTATATATAGAATATCAAAAATTAAATAACTACTTCTTTCACTTTTTGTTTTAAAATTGCTCTTTATTGAGTACACTAAATAGATAGATTTATTAAAAAGGAATTTTTTGTATAGAAAAGTTTTGAAAAAAAAAAATAGGTTAATAGATTCATAATTTCAATAAATAAAAATCTTTTACCATTTGCCATGTAGGTTTTTTATTACTCACTTCTAATCTCTTTATTTTATTAAATATTTTATGCTTTTATCATTAAAATTTTACCGATGCATTGCAATTTTTAAGGTATTGAAAGCTTTACACTTGATTTTGCACTCTCTTTTTATATGAGAATGCGAAATAAAGTGTGCAAAGTTTTCAAAACATCAAAAAGTGTAAATTAGCAAAATTATTCATACTTAAAGCCGATCTTGTAAAATTATAATTCTAAATTATAAAAGTTTGCTTTGATTGGTACTCTGCGAGTAAACCTTGAATTACATATTGTAACGGTGCAAAAAAAAAAAACGGTTTTGTTGCAAAATTTTAAGTTCCATAAACATATTGCATAAATCAAAAGTGCTATATTATATTAGATGTTTCAAATCGTAAAATTAGGGTAGCAGAAACACAAGCATTGCAATTAAAAAATTACGCTGCTTATCACAATTTCTTCGAAGGACTCATATTTTAAATCTTTTAGAAATTTAAAGTTTTAATGAAATCAGAAGATAAATTGTTAAAAAAACAAAATGGAAATCTTCAGAATACTAAAATAATAATAACACAATATTAAAATAATAAAAATAACAAAATATTGTATAAAAGTTGTAAATATTATATATATATATAAATGTAATCAATAAGGTCAAATAAAATTGCAAAGTGCAGAGCTTTGAAAACGTTACTTTTAATTTGTATACATTAAGCTTTAAATGCTTGCAATTTCATCTGACCGTATCGAGTACATCTTCTAGTACATCCTTACTATGTAATTCGATTTTTCTGAAATGATTTTCATATTTGCAGAAATGGAAAGGTAGTACCATACAAATTGATTTGTATTACCTTACCATTTTTCCGAATGCGAATAAGAATATCTATTAAAATCTACTATTGAAATATTTCGTAAATGATAAGTATAAGATGATAAGATATTTTATCAAAATTGTAAATTCTTATAAATTTTTGTATAAGAGATTATTTAATATTTCTTTAAATTTTAAATTTTTAAATTATCTCTGGTTTCAAAAATGGAAACCACTTAAGAAGTTCTTTTTAAGAAGTTCTTTTACATTTTCTTAAAATAGAAATATCAGCAAAAAAAATACCCCATTTATTAATATTTATTTAAGAAAAACAAAAATAAAAGAAAATTTTTCTGTTTTTGAAAAAGAAAAAAAAAAGTTTTTCCGTACTCATTCCATTTTTGATCAAACGTTTTTTTATTTAACATTTTTATTTGTAATTCTGCAATTTCTAAAATTTAATCTCATACCTTTCTAGAAACATTAAATATATATATACATAATGTATATAATGTATAAATATTTAGAAATTAAATATTACATTTATGTATTAATTTATACGTTTGCTATACTTATATAATTCATACCTTCAAGCAATAAAACAAAAATTTATTATAAAATTATATAAAAAATAATTATATTGCATTATATTATATTGTTGAATAGAATTTAATGAAAAAAAAAACTTGAAAGATATTGTAATATTGTTTAGTATAAGTAATTTATAATATAAAACATTTGCATGTACATATATAAATGTTTAATTAAATTTAATAAAATAGAATCTTTACAGCAACAATCATAGAATTACGACAATTACGACTAAAATGAACGACAATGCTGTTAAAATATTCTCTTTAATTAGTTGCTATAGGCATCAAAGTTATCTATATTGAATAATTTTTTGTACCCTAAATACAACAATGTAGATACATATGTACATTATATATAATTAAAATTTAATTCAAAATAAAATGAGAAAATAAACTAGATTAGTTAAGCAGAAATTTTAAATTGTTTTGTGGGAGGTTGCCATACCACAGGATCACCGTATAAAACCATCACATTTACATTCTTTAGTTTACTAGTCATTCACAATAAGTTACACTTTTTATTGAAAAATGATAAAAATTTCTTCAATTTTCATTAAATCTTTAATCTTTATTCGACCTAAAATGGTGTATAGAATTATTAGAAAAGTATAGAATTATTAGAATAAACGCAATTTACTTTCGATGATTTTACCGTTATATAACAAAAAATTATTTATGCCTACATTATTTAGAATGTGTTGATATTTTAGAAAAAATATTAAAATTCTAAAAAAAATTATATAATTTTCTTTAAACAATAAAATTTCCCAAAAATTTTCTAATCTATAAAAATAAAAAAAGCAATAATTTTTTAAAACCAAATGTCCAGACTTCTTGCTATTCTCTTTTTTTTTATATACATTTCAGTTTAACATTCCTGGGAAAAATAAAATCTCAAGAAGTTGAAAATTAAAGGACATC